CGGGTGAGGTTACCAGAATTTCACCTACTTCATAACCAAATCAATAGGTCCAGCAAGAATTGAATAAGGCATCACGGGAATTTAATCAGTCGGGTAGGATATAGGGAGACTCCTGTTGACATAGCATCTATATGAAAGGGACTTGATATGTTCACAGTGGTAGCAGAAGAATCTCTGTCTTGACCCTTAGCCAAAAAGCTCTGGCCAAAAGACAACCTCCATTCTGAAACAGGAATCCTCGTTCTGCAAAGGTAAGCCCAATCCGTTTGGGGCCGCAACCTCGATTTGCTTGGGATGGGAAGTGTCATTTAATCCTAAGAAGGTTCAGCATTAAAGATGAGGATGGTAAAATAAATCAGATCTGCACTACTGATACTTTTGTATTAACCTTGTTAATATTTTGTTTAATTTTGTATTTTCAATGTTTGTAAGATTTTTATCATATTAGAGTATCTGACAAGTTTCGCAAAACAAGAGGCTTAACTAAGTTTGACATTCTCTGACATTTTCTATTTCTTTAATGAAATGGTGGTCATGGCCCACTAAGTTACTTTTGTGTTTCATCAGTGGGTACTGGCCTGAGACCCTGGTAATGGTTAAAAGTACAACTCTGAGGTCAGGCTGATGACTTTCAGATCAGCCTCGGTTTAGCTGCGCAGCCCAGATTGTGTAACCTCTACATGTCCTTGTTTCTTCATCTGTAAAATGGGGTAATGTTAGTACCTACCCGGGCTGGACACAGTGGCACACCTGTAATCCCTGCGTTAGGAGGCTAAGGCAGGAGGATGGCTTGAGCCCAGGAGTTTGAGACCAGCCTGGGCAACATGGCAAGACCCTGTCTCTATAAAAAGGTTTAAAAAAAAAAAAAAGTGGATGGCCTCGGTGGCTCACACCTGTAATCCCCGAACTTTGAGAGGCCGAGGTGGGTGGATCACCTGAGGTCATGAGTTTGAGACCAGCCTGGCCAACATGATAAAACCCCGTCTCTACTAAAAATACAAAAATTTAGCTGGGCGTGGTGGTGGGTGCCTGTAATCCCAGCTCCTTGGGAGGCTGAGGCAGAAGAATCACTTGAACCAGGCAGGCAGATCACCTGAGGTCAGAAGTTTGGGACCAGCCTGGCCAACATGGTGAAACCCCGTCTCTACTAAAAATACAAAATTAGCTGGGCATAGTGGCGTGCACCCATAACCCCAGCTACTTTGGAGGCTATTTAGTTCAATCACTTGAACCCAGGAGGTGGAGGCTACAGTGAGCTGAGATCATGCCATTGCACTCCAGCCTGGGCAAATAGAGTGAAACTCAGTCTCCAAAAAATAAAAATTAAAAAAAAATTTAAAAATTAGCTAAGTATGGTGAGAGGAGGCTGAAATGGGAGGATCGCTTGAGCCCAGGAGGTTGAGGCAGCAGTGAGCTGTGTTTGTGCCACTGTACTCCAACCTGGGAGACAGAATGAGACCCTGTTTCAAAAGTTAAAAAAAAAAAAAAAGGTAGTCCACCTACCTTGTGGGCTCTACTTGATAATTAAATGAGAAAGAAGATAATGTGCATAAAGGCTTACAATAGGGCCTGACACATCATGAGGGCTTAAGAAACGTGGGGAGTAGGTACTGGGTGTGATGACAAAGGGCCTAATGCCCCAAATCTTAGGAGATGAAAAAATGCTGCCTGGAGGCAATGGTATTAATGTTGGAATCTGAAAGAATAGTAGGAATTATTTGGGTTAGGATGCAAGTAGGTGAACAGATGGAGTAGCGAGAAATGAAGAAGCTGGGCATGGTGGCTCATGCCTGTAATCCCAGCACTTTAGGAGGCCAAGGCAGGTGGATCACGAGGTCAGGAGTTCAAGACCAGCCTGACCAACATGGTAAAACCCCATCTGTACTAAAAATACAAAAATTAGCTGGGCGTGGTGGTGCACGCCTGTAATCCCAGCTACTCCAGAGGCTGAGGCAGGAAAGTCGCTTGAACCAGGGAGGCGGAGGTTTCGGTGAGCTGACATTGCACCACTGCACTGCAGCCTGGGTGTCAGAGCAAGACTCAGCATCAAAAAAAAAAAAAAAAAGAAAAAGAAAAAGAAAAAAGAGAAATGAAGAAAGTTCTGGGCAAAGGGAACAGCCCTTGCAACAGCTGTGAGGTGGCACAACTTCCAGGCTTCAATGACCGGAGAGCTTCCCAGGTTTGAGTGTAGCCTGAGAAATGTCTGTGGCAGATGAGGTCAGAGATGGCAACACGGATGAGATCACCAACGGCCCTGTAGCCACCTCAAAGAATTTTAGACTTTAACCTCGGTGTTAATGGGATCTTATTAAGAATCTTAAACAGGGAAATGACATGATTTTCTTTCTTGAAAGACCATTCAAGCTGTAGTGTGGAGAATGGATTTGGAGAGGGCAATTTCAGTGGCAGGGAGACCAAGAGGATTCCATTGCAGTGTCTGCAGGAGAGATGATAGTAGCTTGAACCAGAGTTAAGAACTGACAGGGAACAACAGTGTTTTTTTTTGTTTTTTGAGACAGAGTTCTGCTCTTGTTGCCCAGGTTGGAGTGCAATGGCGCGATTTCGGCTCACCTCAACCTCTGCCTCTCAGGTTCAAGCGATTCTCCTGTCTCAGCCTCATGAGTAGCTGAGATTACAGGAATGTGCCACCACACCCTGTTAATTTTGTATTTTTAGTAGAGACGGGGTTTCACCATGTTGGTCAGGCTGGTCTCGAACTCCCGACCTCGTGATCTGCCCACCTTGGCCTCCCAAAGTGTTGGGATTACAGGCATGAGCCACCTCGCCCAGTGTGGAACAGTTTTAGAGATCTAATTGGGGCCAGGCACAGTGGCTTACAGCTGTACTTCCCAGCACTTTTGGAGGCTGAGGCAGGTAGATCACTTGAGCCTAGGAGTTCCAGACCAGCGTGGCCAGCAAGGCAAAACCTCGTCTCTACTAAAAATACAAAGATTAGCCGGGCCTGGTGGTGGACACCTGTAGTCCAAACTACTGGGGAGGCTGAGGTGGATCCTTGAGCCCAGAGAGGTCGAGGCTACAGTGAGCAATGATCGCTGCCCTCCAGCCTTGGTGACAGAGCGCGAACCTGTCTCACAAACAAACAAATCTAATTAAATGCGGGGACTCTAGAGAGAGAAAGGAGCAATGGATCATTTCCAGGTTTCTGGCTTGAGCATTTGGGTGGCTGGTGGTGGTAGTCTCTTAGAAAACACTGGAGAAAAAGATTCAATTTTTGGATATGTTGAACTTTGAGTTTAATAGAATCTTGAAAATTAAAGCTTCCTGATTTTGTTAATCCGTTTTCTGACACCCTTTAGCCATTCTCTAATGCAATGCTTTTCACGTTATTACGTGCATAGGGATTACCAGGAGTGTGGAGGTGGGGATGTGAAAATGCAGGTTTCTAGGCTAACAAGCCAAGATTTTGGAGATACCAACTGGGTCCCAGGGCTGAAAACAATCAGCCTGAGTAATTCTGATGGAGGGAGTCTCCTGACAACACTTAAGAAACAACAAAAACGACCCCTCTGTCGGGCGTGGTAGCCTGTAATACCAGCACTTTGGGAGGCCGAGGCTCGCTTGAGCCCAGGAGTTCGAGACCAGCCTGGACAACACAGGAAGACCCTCCGCCCCTCGAGTTTCTAAAAATAAAAAAAAAGACCCCCATGTGTCTCTACCATTAGGTTGTTTTCCCACTGTCCACCCCTCCCTACTTCTCAGGCAGCTGCTTGGGGGTCCCTACTGCTTCGAATAAGCTCCGTGGGAGCCAGGACGTTGTCTTACTAACAGGTGCACCTTCAGCGCTCTCAACAGCACTGGCCCCCTAGAAATGTTCGCCGAACAATCGAATGGCTGAATACATTCATAGGTTGCTTTGTACAAAAACTTTTGCTTTGAAATATCTGAAGAGTTCGAGATAGAAAAGCAGACGTCATTCCAAAGAGAGAGAGTGAGGAAGCAACCGGGAAGGCAACGCCGAAAAAACCGGAGGGGAGCCACTTGCCGATCCCCCAAGCACAGTCTGGAGGTCCCAATTCCCGCGGTAGGGGGGCGAGAAATGCCACTCTTCTGATCAGCAACCATTTTGGGCCTGCTTGCGCCGCTTCTCCATGGCGTCCGCGTTGTGCTAATCCAGTTGCTTTTGAGGTTCGGGTCTCCTCCAAGCCTTTGAGGCGCCTGGTGCACGCAAGGCGGCGGCGGGGGAGGCCGGAGCCCTAGTCGCGAGTCCCTTCTACCGCCCGCTGGCAGAGCAGCCGCACCGACCTCCTCATCATGGCGACGGCCGGGCGGGGAAGCCGGGCCGTGCGTCGCGTGCGTGCCCTCTTCCTCCCCTCCCCCTCCTCGGCGGCGGCGGCGGCGGCAGAAGCGGCAGCGCTCGCCATTGCCGCTGGTGGCAGGAGGCTGCGAGGAGCCGGCGCGGTCGCAGTCTCCACGGCGCAGGCCCACGGTAGCGCAGCCGCTCTGAGGTGAGTGCCCTACCGCGCAATCTCCAGCTATTTCAGCCCCGGCGCAGCCGCAACACGCCGCCCGCCCGCCGGCCGGCCGGCCCGCCCCGCAGCCGGCACCCTGCCGCCCCCGGCTCCGGGCCTGGGCCCCCGCCGGATTCGGCCCGCCTCGGGCGGGGAGCCCCGGCCCGGCCCAGCCAAACCGCCACCCCGAGGATGCGCAGGCCGCACTAGGCCCCAGGCGTCCTGGCGGGCTGGGGAGGGAGGCGCTGCCCTCCCGAGAGCCCCAGGGTTCCGGCCTCCCCCGCCGCCTGGGGCTCTCGGGACCGCGGCCTCCTCCCCGCCGTGGAACCCGGGGCCCGGCCTTCCCGCGGCTCGGGAGCGGGAGGCGCGGGAGAGTGCGCCGGGCCCGGGAGCGGGAGGTGGGCGGGCTGCGCGGGACCGAAGCCGCGGCTCTTCGCTCGCCCCCTCGGCCCTTCCCGGCTCTCGTCCGCGGGCGGGCGGCGCGGCTGGGCCGGGCTGGGGCGCAGGAGCCGCTGTCTCCTGCGGGAGAGGAGGCTGGCTCTTTGGGCGACCTCCGAAGCTTCCCTCCTGCCGGGGTGGCGTGGGCTTGTTACCCAGGTAGACTGGGGGACGCTGGAATATGGCGCGTTGCCCACCTTCTTGCAAGTTAGGAGGCGGCCGGGGCGGCAGTTCGAGGAGGAGGGCGCAAAGTCCTTTTGTACGCAGAAATAAGGAGCGACATTGTGTTTTCTTCCCCAGCTGAGATGTGCCCGCGGAGGGGCCGCGGTTCTTCCTGTGCCTCGGGTGGTGGTCCCCTGGGTGGGGAAGAGGGGGAGTGGCACGCCCCTCCGAAGGAACTGAACCTTTTGCCACTGGAAAGACAGGGGCTCTGGGTTGGCCGTGTGCATGGTATTTTCCCACATCCCCAGACCTTTTCGGGTTTGTCATTGTATGTTGTGCACTCCACCTTGCAATGATGTCTGCTGCCTCTCTCACCTGTTGTGTCGTGGCTGGTCCCAAAGTTTCTGTAGTGCATTTGGCTGTTCCCACCAGAACTTGAAGTTGTTTAAAAATCTTAATATTTGGGGGGCTTCCAGTGATATCTGCTCCAACCAGTTGGAGGAGCTGTTGCCTGTTCTCCATTCTTCTCAAGCATTAGATTAGAATATATTAATTGCTTATTTTAGAGCTGGTGTCAGTCGTGCTGAATTCTTTCTGTGGTCAGCAAAATTCACATTTTCTTAAGTGTTCAGAGACCGTATATTGGGAAACGCATAAGGAGAAAGGTAGTGTGAGTGAGCCTGTCAGTTTGCACGGTGTTGGGCAGAGCTTATGTCCCGGGACATCATCTGTGCTCGCGGTCATCCTTTTTCCCATTCCATCTCAGCCTAGCCTTTTAAAAAATTCTTTCTCCTTTGGGCTTGACCAGTAAGTTATTGGGAAAGGGGGGCGTTGGAGTCTTGGAGATGCTGTTTGGGTATGTGTGTTTGATTCATTAGTATCCCGATTCCCTAAAACTGTGTTTGACAGTTCTTGACAGGTTACCCCATAAGACAGTGAAAATATGACTAGTTCTCTCGGTGCTTCTGAGTGTAATTTCCTTATTTTATGAGTGCAAAAGGAGACATAATTATCACATGCAATATAGAATATTTACTCTTGGATTCTAAATTGTGTGCAGAATTTTTTTTTTCTTTTCATGGGACTTAGACAGTGGCTTTCAACAGGGCACATGACCAAAACAAAAAACAATCAGATTAAGAAAACTCTTTACTTAATCTTTTGGCTCATCCTTACTTGAAGTCCTTTAATTCCATCACACAATCTCAAACTCAACATAGAGGAGGGATATTGACTTTATGTTTTGTAGTCAGTGGTCATATATTGGAGGGAAAATGACTTGCTTAGTAGTCAGTTGTCATATTCTCATGTAGCAAAGAAAATTTCTTATCCCCAAGCCGGGAGTTGTTCTGGAAATAGTTGTTTTTCTTTTCTTTTTTTCTTCAGATGGAGTCTGTTTCCCAGGCTGGAGTGCGGTGGTTCAATCTCGGCTCACTGCAGCCTCTGCCTCCTGGGTTCAAGCGATTATCCTGCCCCAGACTCCTGAGTAGCTGGGATTACAGGTGTGGGCCACCATGCCTGGCTAATTTTTATATTTTTAGTAGAGGCAGGTTTCGCCATGTTGGCCAGGCAAGTCTCGAACTTCTGACCTAAGGTGATCTGCCGGCCTTGCCCCCCAAAGTGTTGGGATTACAGGCATGAGCCACTGCACCTGACCCAATAGTTTTCTTATAAAAAAATATATGTATGTGTGTGTGTCTGTGTATAATATATATACACAATTTTTTTTCTTTTTTTAAATTAGAGGTGGGGATCTTGGTATGTTGTCTAAGCTGGCCTTGAACTCCTGGGCTCAAGCAATGCTTCCACCTCAGCCTCTCTAGTAGCTGAGACTATAGGCAAGTGCCACCATGCTGGCAGTGGCTTTATAATAGGTTTTAAGGAAATGTAGCTCCTGTGTTTATAAAAGGAACTATAGAAGTAGGAGATAATAAGGGCCCTTGTCCAGATATAGAAGGGATTAAAGGAGAAAGGATTTCAGGTTTCCTTCTGAATTCCTGTGTATGTTGTTAGAACCCCAAATTGTAGGTTTTTTGTTTTATTAGACCATAATTAGGCACTTGTCTAATTTTGTTAAGGAACTGAAGGCCAACTTCCCATGATGTCAGTACCTGAATTTACATTGCCTGCACACTGTAGATCCAACCAAATCTCTGGGTTGTCTTTAGAAGCATTTTATGTGAAAGAACCACAAATGAGTGACTTGTTTTAAGGGAAATTTAAGCTCCTGTGGTCTGGGATTAAATTTTTATGCCTTTTCTTGTATGCAATAAGGCATTCAGTAAATGTTGGGGAATAATAACGATGAACAGTAATTACTGAAATTAATTTTTTTTCATGAGTATTTTAAAAGGCATGCTGATTTTTTGGTTTTTGAAGGGACTATGAACTGTCAGTCTTTAGAAACAGTCTGCAGTCCTACCTCAACAGGAAGTTAATGTATATACATTCAGCTTCTGTCAGATGTCTTTAGACAAGCCCAGTGCTTCATGCTGAAGCAGGCTTATTCATCCACACAGTGCTACTGTGAAAAATTGGAGGGTGAGGGGAGACTCCATGGGCTGTTGAATTTCACAAATGTCTATTTTAATGTCGAGAGTTTAGATGCACCCTTCCTGGGCCTGCAGTCATCCAGGAAATGGGATATCTGAATTTAAATGTTTGTGTGTGACTGTGTGTGATGCTTATTAACATGTATATATAGCGTATTTGGAAAATCAATCTTAAAATACCAATCTTTGATCTTGTAAAAAACATATCAGAAAATGTTTTAAAGGACATTTTCTTTCTGTTCTTTCATGTTTTCCTTGATAGCTAAAGCTAGTGTTTTCAGCCTGAGCTTACCCAAATATAATTTTCCATGAATGCTTAGTAAAATGGCAATGAAAAAGAAACCCACTTGTTACATTTTTTAGAAACATTTTATTTAGACCAAGTCCAATGTTTTTTGAGTCTCAGGATACATGTTAATTTTTTTGCCCTATGTATCATATATTTCCTTATTAACTAAAGGGTGGATTACCCACTTTCTTGGGTTTTGAGTTAGTACTTTTATCCATCAGTATTCTACTAAGGTAAACAGACTGGAAGATAAATAGTAAAAGGACGTGAAACAAATCAATTTCAGGTGTTTCCGGAAGATTAAAACCACATTGAGCTATTGGAAACTTTTAATCCTTGAGCAACAAGAATGCTTTGTTTGAAGTTATTTTAATGTAATATGGACAAAACTTGGGAAATGAATTTTTAACTGCTCAAGGAAAATAAGTGGATTGCTTGTACCTTAGTACACATATATCTATATGTTTTTTTTCTCAAGTTCCTTTCAGGATTAGGCTAATGTATTTTTAACCCGACTTAATGCAGTGTAGTTAGCAAAACATCAGAAAGGCTTCATCATGTTCTTGTCTTTATGCCTAAAATGTTTTAAAATGTGAACATTTATGTGATACCAAGTAAACTTTCTCTGACCCGAAGAAGGGCTAGGAATACAGCTCTACAGATATGTTCTAATATATTAGAAAACAATGGCTGGGCATGGTGGTTCATGCTTATAATCCCAGCACTTTGGGAGGCCAATGCAGGAGGATTGCTTGAGACCAGGAATTCAAGACCAGCCTGGGCAACGTAGCGAGACCCTGTCTTTACAGAATATTAAAAAAAAAAAAACAAAAACTATCTGGGTATGGTGGCATATGGTTGTAGTTTGAGCTATCAGGAGGCTGAGGCAGGAGGATCACTTGAGCTTAGGAGTTTAAGGTTGCAGTGAGCATAATCGTACCGTTGTGTTTTCGCTTGGGTGACAGACCCTGTCTCAACAAAAACACCTGATTGCTGTTAAGGCAGGCCTACCACATTTGGGATCTCTTGAGGCAAATCTGTATTGTATCTCTAAGAGCAGGCAGCAGTCACTTAGAAGATAATCTGACTGTAAGAAATGGTCTGCTGAATTCCAGATCTGGTATTCTGCCTTGCCCAATCACAACATGGTTTGTGTAAAGCTCCAACTGCTACTGAACCATCAGATATTTCTTGAGGAAGCCGTGTCTCGTAAGGAGGGGTGTGTGTGTGTGTGTGTGTTTGAGGGAGTGTGGTGGGGAGGAGAGGGGGAAAGAAAAGATGATACTAGGAAAAGAATATAGTTTTAATAGGTTGGGATGATCCCTGGAATTTTTTAGGGGAAATATTCTCAAAAGAAGCTATAAGAGCTACTTTTGTATGGGTTATCAGTTTGCTGATTTAGACTATTTTCTTGTAATTGGATTGTTTTATATGTAAGCATAGTATTTCAATTCATGCATGCTGGTTTCTGTGGTTACAAATGTGAAAAGTTTGGCTGGTAGCTTAAGTGGACATTTTCTTAAGAACTCTTGAAGTGGTGCCTTTTGGGATAAACTATGCCAAGCCATTTTCTGACTCTTCATGACGAATGAGCTTTATATGCATATATATTAAGACTGTTTTTAAAAAGCATATATTTTACTGTTGGTAATTGTAAAGTCTTTGCTTTTTAGAACTTTAAGAGTCCGTTTTGTTGCTACTGCTGAATGCTAATGTGGTTAGGCTGGCAGCTAAACCTACAAAGAACAAGGGGAAGTGAGGAAATGTCCCTGTGAAACATTGCTTAAAGCTATTTGAGCAGTGGACTAGAAATGGGGAGTTGGGGACTAGGGGACCTGATTTTTGTTTTATGTTCAAAGGAGAGTGAAACATTCTCTCCGTTGGGAAATAACTTCCTTAAGTGTATTTTCACTTTGGAGTTTTGCCACTCATTCACCAAACAATGATTAAAGATACACCATATTCCGGGCATGTGCTAGGTGCTAGAGTAACAAGTATTGGGCCTTGTCTGGTAGGGCAGAAAGGTATGGGCTCAACCAGCTATGTTACAACTTCTAGAGAACCAAAATAGTGTAAAGAAAGAGTGGTGTGGGATTGTAGGAGGAGAGAGAAATTCTGGGGAGAGGAGAGTGATACACAGAGAAAGGTGAGCTTAGGGAAGACTTTTCATTTAAGGGAGTTTGAGTAGGACTTGGAAAGGTGAGTTTAGCTGCATTAACTGATGGAGAAGAGGGGGAGCTGAGAGGAAGAGCATCAGAAATCTGATTTGAGAACTAGCAAGTGGATTTTGCTCTACTTGGAGAATAGTGGACTGATAAGGTTGTGTCCTGATTGGGAAGAGTTTGTAATTCCATGCTTATGAGTGTGGACTTCTCTATAGGCATTTAGGGACTGTAAGAGATTTGAGTAGGACATCTACTCTGGTTTTTAAAAATATGACATGTGAA